CTTGAGCAGATCAAAGAGCATCTCTTTCTGTTTACGCTTTTTTGCTAACTTTATTGGCAGAGGACTGTGGTCATGTTTCTAAAGATCTCGGTACTACTAGTGGCTACAGACAGTTATGGAGTTAAACGTGATACAAGTTCCATTCACCCAGTGAGCTGTGGCTTTTCTCTGGTTTACTTAGTTCTTTGTATAATGCCATTGCTCCTATGCTTTTGGTTCCTGAATCTGAAATTGGTGTAACACGTCCGCACACCTAAAACTAGGCCTTGTACTAAATGACACATGTGAGCATGTAAAATAAAAACTAAGCCACAAGCGTGTGCTGGAAGAGGTACCAGTTTGAGCATTTGTATAGTTTTGCAGGAATTTTTGAGTAAGTTTTATGCTTTAGCACCCTCTTCTGGAATAAAGCAATACTGCCAATATTTTATCTTAAATGCTTTTCCTATAGCTGAAACACGATTGCTTCACATCTGGGAAAAGAACACATCTTCAGTCACAGACATATTTCTATTATGCAGTTTGTTACTCTATATGTTTGCATAAATATGATTTCTTATTCTCTTTATGCCTTATATTGCATAAGTATAATGCCTTATTCTCCTATCAGATTAATAAAAATAGCCCATATTTACTCAAGTCAACCTGGAAATGGGAAAAAGTTTGCTGTTTCTAGACCAAGAAACTACGTCTTTAAGTGATCTGCTGTTTGTTGTGTCTTGACTGCCTCCTGGGAGGAGTTTGATGTCGTTAACTTAATTATCAAGTTAATTGTGAACAGAACTAAATGATCTCTCTCTCACATATGTTAGTGCTCTAAATTTAACATTAAGTTAGCGTCAAATATGCCAGTTTAGGATGACCTTGTAGTTGGTTATGTGGTTGTGTTCAGGCCCACAATGGAAGGTAAGTCCTCTTCCAAAGAGCATACTACCTGGCTAAAGGACAATATGTGAAATATAAGCATGATAATGTAATGCAGGGGGAAAGGGATGGGAGCAAACAGTTCTCTAAACTTATTCCCTAAGGAGCAGCAATCTATTAATCTTAGAAGAAAGGTGGGGTGGAAGGTCAGTTGTGTTTTGAATAGATGAAAATGCCAGATTTTCACCTTCTCTGTTAACTAAATCTCCCTGCATGGCTACTCAGGTAGGAGCAAGAAGCAGTAGATCAACTGTTGCTGTTATGGCTGCCGTATCTGCCCTGGGTGCCAGGTATCTTCAAAGATATTAAATGTGCAAAGACGAGGACTAACATAGTTTGTTCTAAAAAGTGGAACAAAAAAAAAAAATGCCCAGATTTCCTTAACTTGCTCAGTTTTGCATATTCACCATGATAAGCCCTATTTGCATCACTGCTATTCAGCACGATGCCTACCTTCATCAATGCACAGTGTTAATGATAACAAACAGAAAGAAGGTCATGAGTGATGCAAGGATCTGAAGAAAGAGACAATCTTGTTAATGTGGCTCAGCCTCCTTTGGAGGACAGAATATGCTGTCTATCTTACATAAATTACATGTTATGGGTAGATCATTTAAATATTTCTTTCCTATTACTAGTCAATGATTTTATTCTTCCTGTCTGCTGTCTGGCTTAGGATAATTGAGTATAAATTTGTCAAAGTGCTGAGCACTTCCCTTCAGTTGCAATTGAAATCACTGGGGACTGAGTTATGAACCAGCTAAAGGTGAGAATGATCAAACCTTCCCCATACACCAGTCAAAAGAGAGGCACCCAAAAGTATTTGATATTTTGATGAAATGCTTTAGTCTCCGTCTCCCTGTTGATGATAACAAACACTTCTCACATCGCCTTGCTGCACAAATGTGGACATTAGTTAGCACATGGCTGTGAAGCAACTGGCTCTTCCAGATGCATCAGATCTCACACCCTGAAATGGGGCTGTGTGTGTCCTTTGCTGCTGTCCTTTTGCTGCGCTCCCTTCCCTGCCCACAACACCTATTTTGATGCCTAGGTGTTCACAGACACTGAGAGGGAAGACCTGAAAGGCTTGATCAGTGGTAAACACCACAGGAAAAAGGTATTGAGGGTAGACTATAGACGGCATGCAGTGACCAAATGTTGCAAGACAATGGATACACATTCCTAACAACATCACCAATGAGTTTTATCCATCCTCTTCAGGCAAAGGATGAGCTACATGCAGCTCTGTAACTCCACATTGCACGAGGAAGGTGGTAGAGCAAGTTTAGGTTTGTATAAACAACCTGTTTCTGAGCTTCAGTGACTAAAAAATAATCTCTTCTATCCACAGGTGCAGTCTTTAAAAGTTTTTTTTTCTTGGGTGTGATTTCCCAGACTTTTTAAAATACGAATATCCATGCCATAGCTCTTACCCAAATTCATCACCATCATTGGTATTGCTACAGAATTCTGGCATATTACCACATGAAATAATATGTAGAGGCACGTGTATATGTGTGTTTATGTAGTCTAACTCTGGTCACAGCAATAGTCTTGGATAAAATATATATATATTTTTTTATCCTCAAAGGAAGATCTGTGTGTTCACTTTGACACAAGTTCTGTGTAACCACATAAAAGGTTTTATTTCATGTATCCTGAAAAACAGAAAAGCAAAGATTATATTTACCAAACCGTTGGAGGAGGAAGTGTTTCTTCTTTTTTCTTGCAGCTTGATTACGGTGTAACACTCAGTTATTCCCTGCGTGTGCTTGTGGGGATTCAAACTTCTATCTTCTATGTAAGTGCTTCAACTATTATGTTAGAAAGTCTGTTTTACTTGTTGGTTGTTCCTCTTGATGACAATTTCAGTAGTTCATCCATAAAAACTTTCTTGACTGGAGACGGAGGGAATGACAGTTGAGAATGTTTTACACTCTGTAATTAGGACATTCATGCACCAGCTGAGAAACCTTGAAGAAATCAGGCAGAAAGGGAAATGCTTCAAGTTTAGTCATGCAGTGAAATATTCTGAAAACTTCTGGGCTCTATGTTGTCCTCAGGTTTAAGCAAATCATGCTTCACAAAACTTACTTCATCACCCTTGTGGAGTAGAACATGTTTTTCTAGTTCTTTATAAAGGCTAAAAAGTCACAGGTACTAGATCTGAAATGGAAATTATTCTTCAAGGTAGGAAACTTTTTTTGTTGGAGAGTTAAATTTCTTGTAGCGTAATTAGGCAGAGTTGTAATGGGTGTTTCAAAACATTTAGGATCAATGAACAAAATCATAGCTATTCTGGCATATAAGCCTGCTCCTTGAAACTATTTAAAAACATTTACTATTTGGAGATGCCTTAAATTCAAGCTTGAGGCACCTTCATTTTACGTTTTATGATCTAGAGAGAGGGACATCCAAACTGAGTCTATGTTGATTACAAGTCCCTCTATCTGTTGCTAATTCTGTTGTTACCTCTTTTAATCATTACTTCCTAGTATACTGCCTGGGATACTATGAATATTTATTACCCAAAAGTATCTTTGTTTTTTTCTTCAGTTATGGGTGCTGGGTAGTTCTGCACTGCTTAGAGAAGTGATGTGAACTAATTAACAGCTACTTAGTAAAAGAGGTTGGGACTGTAGGATGATAAATATGAGTTATTTTAATAGACTCAAAATGAGACAGCTATTTAAAGGACAGTCTAGTAGATCTTAGTCCAGCTGTAAATGATAAAAAAATCAGAGATATAGGACAGCGTAGCTAGGAGACAATTTAAAAGCTTTTTTTAAAAAAAGGTAATATGTTAATAACTGTTATTGTTTTGTTCTTTGTTATATACTGTTACTTAATGAAGTTTGTGTAATGACTGCTTAGGCTGCAGTTACTGTATCATTTTGAGATCAGGAGACATGTAAAATGTCAAAGCTATTGAGAAATAACAGAAAAGGTGTTTCAAGTCGAGTGACTTTTGTGAGACAGTAAGTGGGTTAGGCAGAAGAACAAGAAACGGATGTGGGAATGTTGGCATATGTGACATTTGAATGGAAAGACAGAACTTGGGTGAATTAAGAGCAGATTTAAGAATGTGAATGGGAGACTGCATGGATGTAATTCTGACATAGGTATTTTGAAAAGAGGAGGCATGCAGGACCAAAAAAAACTCACAAAGGTTTTAGCTTCATTTAAGGCACAGATTAAAAATAAACAAATAAATAAAATGAATAGAAGCAGATGTGCTTTCTTTAGCATTTTACTCTAATGGTGACATCTTGGTGGATAAATAGGCTTCTGTAGTGCTGCCTTAAACACATATTTTTCAGCTGCGTTAGAACACCACCACCGAAGCCTACTACCTTACTTCAGCGCTAAGGGCAAAATCCATGTCAGAGGCCAGGATAGAGCCTTTATCTCCCGATTCCTGGAAGCTGCCCTTACCCTGAACCCATTTCAAGGGGGAAAGCCCGGCCCTGATTTATCACCGCAGGGTCAAGAGCAGATCAGAACCAAGGTTAGGTGCAATTCAAAGCGCGCTGGGCTGCCGAAGGTATCAGAACAAGGCCCCAGCTCAAAGAGCAAGCATAGATCAGCAGGGACGGTGAGAAACATCCGGGCTGAGGCGCGAGGCCGCAGTGAGGGGAAGTCGCCCATCTCCAGCGCCGGGCAGCAACGGCCGTAACGGCCAAAACGGCCTGCGGGCACCGCCCCCTCCCCGTGAGAGGCAAGCGCAGTGCATGCTGGGACTTGTAGTCCTCGCTGCCGCGGCGCCGCCACTAGGTGCGGGCTGCTACACTGCATCTCCCAGCGTGCCTCGCGCGCCGCCCGGTGCGTCACCGCGACGCACTTAACGCCCCGCCCGCCGCCCGGGCCGTTTCGCTGCCGGCGCTCGCAGCGCGGCGGGTGTGAGGAGCGGGAGGCGGCGGCGGCGCCGCGACCCCGTCTTCCCCGCCGCGGCCGGGCAGCCATGCGAGGCGCGGCCGCCTGCCCCTAACGGCCGCCTCGGCGCGCCTGCCCTGAGGGGCCTGGCCCGGAGAGGAGAGGAGCGCGGAGCCCGCGGGCCGGGCCCCGGCGGCGGCGCCATGTGGCAGAGCATCGGGCTGACCTTGCTGGTGATCGTGGCCACGCTGGCCTGCGTGCTGCTCTTCATGCTGTGCGGTGAGTCCGCCGCGGCGGGAGCCGCCCCGCGGTGCCGCTTTCGGCTTCCCCTCGGCCCGTCCCTCGCCCGCCCTGGGGAGGGGGCGGCAGCGCGGCGCCGCCGTCACCCTGGGGAGCCTAGGGCCCCAAAGAGAGAGGAACGGGGAAAGCAATCAGAAACAGCCGGGAATTGGGCTGTAGCTTCTGGTGAAAGACTCGAGAGAGAAAAAGCAGGGGCGGGTGCTGCCCAGAGTGGCCTGGGAAGGGCCCGGGACAGAGCGAGGGCGCCCGTCACTTCCAGCAAATGGGGAATGGTGCTGGGAGCTGCGGAGAGGAGGGACAGCTCCCTGCCAGCGGGATTCGGGGGGGGCTCCAGGCTCCAGGAGCTCCAGGAAGGGTTCAGCTGCCGCCGCCCAACGGTGGTGGCTTGAACGGCAGCCTTGTCTTGCAACGGGAGGCTCCAGCAGTCAAGGTTTGTTGGGGTTTTTTTTGGGGTTTTTTTTTTTTTGTGTGTGTTTTTGTTTTTTTTTTTTGCCTCCCCACTCTTGCCATCTTGTTCAGAAACCGTTGTCTAGATATTTTCTAGTGCTTTAAGATATAATGTGGTACTTTTTTTTTTTTTTTTTTTTTATGCTGTCTTTAATTAGACCTTCTCATGGAAGTAAAGCTGAGAAAATAGAATGGTTTCGTAGCATTCACAAAGCTGACTTCTTTGCGTATTTTCCTGGATGGGACATATAGTGGGATATACTAAAGAGTCTCGTTAACTTTGTTGGGTGACCTCAGCCTCTCTAGTGCTTGCTTAAAGGTAGCAAAAGTAGTTTATACACCGCTTAAAGGGCTTTATTAATGCTTGGCAGTTTGAAGTTCTGTATTGTAATTGCCTTGCTTTGGATCTTGCATTTGTATCTTAATTTAAACAGCTTCTTGTGTTTGTTATTTTTTTCCTGCATTTCGCCTGTTTCTGTATCTATCCTGTATATCCCCTGTTTAGTAGGGAGGAGAAAGTTTTAGCTGTAACACTGTGGGATTTGGTAATGACTTACAGGACTCTTGTTACAGAAAATCAAGTAAATCAGTGCTAAGTCCACTCCTAGAAACCGTCTGTAGTAAGCTGTATCCAGCCTAAAGGTTTATTTTGTTCCTCTGACAGCTAGTGTCTTTTTGCATATGAATTTTATGAATTCAACTTGACAGCCTCTCAGTCTGCTTGAGTGCTGTGAATGTGTGTAAATGGTAGCCAGTGAGACATGCAAGTTCATGGACAAAGCTGGCAGGAGAATGCCTGCATATAAATTTGAATAGAGTTAATTTGATGATAATATTTTAGTCATCTGATAAGCATCTGTTTCAGCACCTCTCATAGATATGGAATTTTACAGGGTCAAAAGTCTGAAGAGTTGTAAACTGGATTTTGAGTGGCTTATGAAGGGACTCATGGTATGAATGCTTGCTGAGAACAGTAGACTTAAAAATCTGGGAGAAATCCCAGGGTCATGTCAATTTTGGTGGCTTATCACAAATACAATATAGTAAGTGCGATGAGAACAGCAATGATAAAATGCAACTTTCATAATGCTTTTAAAATAATGTGAAATTCAAAACATGTCAGCTGCATCAGGATTAGGCAGTTTAATCTTTAGCTGTATGTGGAAAGTAAATTCTTATGCCTGAATTAGGTATTTATTTTTATGAAGATACTTTGAATAAGTGACCTGGTTTTTCATTTCGGCACTCAAGAGTGTCTACAGTTCTGGTGTCCATCTGAATTTGTTAGTAATCCCTGAAAGCCTGCGGTTAATGAAGTCTCTATTGGTAAACTGAGCACATTTGACATAGAAACTATTGAGAGAGTGCAAATATTTTTTCAGTTGCTCTTTTAAAAGTAGGTCCTAGGTAATTTGCTTCCACTTTTCTTTCTATATTTCCTGGCAGTCTGTTTTCATCAAGGTGACATTATGTTCCTTCTATCTCTTCTATGTTCATATGTCCATGGTAGGAATTCATGTATAGTCAAGGAGATGCAATAAAATACCATCCAAGATGAGCTCTAGGATTACTTACCACTGTTTTAATTCAGTGTGGTAATTAAATTAAGCTGTATGCAATTGCTGAGGAGCGCTTTCTGTGGGACAGATAGTGCTCATATCATTTGGCAAGAGATGCTAGTGAAATGTGGTTTGACATATATGAACTTAAAATGAAAGTTGTCAGGGCTAGTCTTGATGGGACAAGTGTGTGGTTTGCTTTGAGTGAGAACTCAGCTGCAGATAGGAGAACACCTGAGCTGTTCCACCTTAACTATACAGCAAAGCTGAGCCCTAGGGCGTGGACATTTTTTGCCTTAAATGGCACAGCATTGAAGTGAGTTGTTCTTGCTCGCACATGATTCCCCACAAAGTTCAAGGTGAAGCCTTGTTCCAAGGGTCAGGCCCTCTGGGCCCTACACTCCTTCAGTGCTCTCATGGTCCAGTTTTATAGATCTGTAAGACTTGCTGTGTTAGATGTTGCAATAGTATTTGAGTGCCATATGGACAACATTCAACTTGTTAATATTACAATCCTAAACTGATCTTCAGCATGTTGCATTGGAGCATCCTATTTTCAAACTGGTAGGATCACAGAGATGAAATCAGTTTGCATGACCACACAAAAAGTTGATATCGGAGTGAGAAATAGAGCACAGCTCTGCAAGACAATCTTGTACTGTTACCACATCACCTTCCTTGGTTTGATTTGTTTTCTACAGAGTAAAACTCAGTTTATTTTATCCCCTACCTTGCATGCCACTCTTGGGAATTTTTGTTTGTCTTCCTTATTCCGAAGAGTATGCAACAGGAAGATTAAACACACTTCTCACCTTCTCACTTTTAGTTTATGCCTACAAGTCAGTTTAGACCCTCATAAGTAAAGAGATTCTGAAATTTCTGCCCTTCACTTTAAAGGGGCTTATTCTATTACGATCAGGTTATTTCATACACCTAGTTCTTAATAGAAATGAAGAAGCAACAGAAAAGGTAACTTTTGAAGACTAATTATAGTCCTGTGCTATGAGGATTTTATAGTTTGTCCTAGATGATACGTATTTCTGAGTTAGTAAATGAGGCTTTGCCTCATGGTCACATCCTTGCAATTCACATTACGTCGTATCACGATTTAGAGCAGGGCCCAACTACTGGTGACACGATGCTGAAGGTAGCTTAAAAGTTCTTGGATAGCTGTGGCATTTTAAAGGAGACGGTGGCTCCCAGCTTTCTGAGCACTAAACTCTGCAGAGGCTGGAAGTTGCTGCTTGGCTTAGTACAGGCAATATTCTGCATTTAAGCTGTGTTACTGGTCTCTGGATTCAGCGCTGTGCTGCAGCCAAGAGCTGGAGCGCCTGCTTTGCATGGTGATGCTGCGCGGCCCGCCTGGCTGGGCCCTTCCAGAGGCACCTGCCACAGATGGGGATGGAAATTAGCCTGGCTTATCAGCGCTGCTTGTTGTCGCTGTTTGACTGCTGAAGTTTAAGTAAACTAGGAATGACTTGAGAAAATAAATGGCTAAAGAAGACAAGTAATGAGCACTGACGGACTAATTCATATGGAACATTTTGTGTGGCAAAGTTAAACCATCAGCGTTTCTCTAAGTAGGTAGTTCGAATGAGTTGAGAACCTTTTGAACATAAGCTGGTGCCAGGAATTACTTGCAGAGTTCATGCTGAACAGCAGAGAGGTTGTGAAGCCAAGTTGAAATGGTGAAGGTGTCAGAGTCTAAACTGGAGAGGCACTATGAACCTATTTCAGATAGGTGGGTTTGGGGGGATTTTTTAAAAATCCATTCAAGACTGCTTTATTTGAAAGGTTTTGCCATATGTATAACCTTAACTGGACTTTAGAGGGGAAAAAAAACTATATTTCTCAGCTACTTCCAAATATAGTGCCTCAAATTGTGTTCTGCCCAGCAGGGAGCCAAGAGTTGAAGAAAATACTTTTCAGTGTTTTTCATAGTCTAAAGTCTCATTTTCCTGTGGTTCTTAGTATATTTATTTGTTATGTTTTATGCATCTTCTTTCTAAGGCAGTCTAGAAATGAGCATGGCTTTTGCAAATTGGATTACTCTTTAATGAGCTCTGAAGCTGTGAGGAAAAGAGCTGATCTATCTTCTTCAAAATACACAAACAACTATAGATCCCAGGGACCTGAAACTGGTTTTTAAAAGCTGTTTCCATGAGGAGGAAGCTCTTCCTATTTCTTCCTTGAGATAGGAAAGAAAGGCACTTGACTGCCTTTGACTTTTATTGTAGGGCTTCTGATGTGTTTTTAGGGCATCAGGTTAAATTTGGTGATAAATCCTTTAAAGGTTCCTCAGCCCTTAATGTAGAAGGGCCCTAGCTGGTTTAAGGTTAGGTCACTAAAGAGCTTTCCCCAATACTGCTTTGTAGGAGAGGTTGTGAAAGTTAAATCTGTGGGACAGAGTATTGCGAGACAGATGGGTAGGGTGGGATCTTGCTTCATCTTGAGCAATTGCCTGTTTGTATTGGCATAACCGATTCCAGAAGAGGAAGAAAACTAGTGGTGCTGTGATTGCATGTATTGCCACTTGTTTGTTCCCCTTTCTTCATATATTCCTGTTAATGCTCAGGAGTTTGCTGTTTCTGCTGGCAGGTGTGTAAGTGGGAGGATTATATTTACTAGTTCAGCATATTTAAGGCTACAGTTATTTCCCTAGATCAGCAGTACAGGCTCAAATGGCAAGATCCTCTGAACAGAAAATGAAATAATAGTGCTTAGCAAGACAGATGTTTCTGATATTGCAAATGATGCTTATAGCACATGGGCACCAGTATTTAAATGTCATTCTAGCTGCCTGTGAGATATACTGTGAAGTTGCAATTGTATCTTATAGATCATGGAACTAACTGCCTAGCTAAAGGGAAAATATATGATTAGTCCTTGGTAAGGCTCCAGCTTCTTTCAATCCAAATGCTTAGATAAGTGACACTTTTAAAAGGAAGGTTCTATGTTAGGTATAGATACAAATGTTAGGTATAGATACAAATATATTTGCCTTGGGTACTTGCAGAAACGGAGATTTGGAGGAGTGGAGTGCTATCTTCAACATGAAGAGCCTTGAGGAATGTGACCCTCCCAATGTGATATTGACTCTGCTTAGTTACGGAACCCAAAGTATTTTAGTGCAGAAACAGAACTGAATACAATTTCCTAGAAAATGTTATTTTTCCTTTAGCGCAACTTTTGGCACAGTGAGAGGATACCTTGAATATGGCTGATGCGATCTGGTGAATTGGGATAAAAAAACAGATCTTGTGAATTTTAGAACAGAATGCACTACAACACATAGCTGCAGTCTGAAAATCTTGGCAAGTATGATTCACAGGGACTGTGTAGTGGAACTTTAAAAAATGGGGTGGCCTTGAATATTTTCAGTAGGATGGGGTGTTACAAGTAAGGACAGAAATCCTGGTGTTACTTTTTTACAATGCCTTTGTAACAGTTTCCTTGTAGGTTTCCAGAAAAGGAATTTAGGTTGTTAGGCCTGCCACCAAGACCTGTATCTGTGGTTGTAACCACCCACTTACTCTTTGCCGTGGCAGGATAATGCAGAGCATGTTAGGGTCATGCTGGATAGAGCATGAACATTTGGCCTCTGGATGAGGACAAAATTTATCAAGCTCAGCTGATAACTGTAGGAAGGAATGAATGTACATTAGGAGGGAGTATTTTGGGCTTTAGAGTTGGTAAGTAATTAATGAATGGGTTACTGATCAATTTTGTGCTTGCTTTTCTGGTATAAGTTGATCAATATGTGAATTTCAATTTGTATGAAGGAGCTGAACAGTACCTTCTCTTTGTCTCCTGCAGGCTGGTATGTGGTCTGGCAATTGTTTCTGTCTAAATTCAAGTTCCTGAGAGAATTGATAGGAGATACAGGGTCCCAACAAGGGGACAACGAGCTTCCCGAGACTGAAGTTGATCAGGAAACTCCACCCTCACCACACAGAGGCAGACAGAAATCTGCTCGCCAGCGAAGGGCTCCTGCCGAAGAAACAACTTAATTCTCCCTTGGGTTGACTGTGAGTGGTTAAGCACCTCTGCACTGTGTATGTCGTTCAGTAGCTTCACCTTATGGAAAACTGACTTAAAAGACCATAAATGTGAACCTCTACTTCTGAACTACAAATATCTGCTACTTCAGAGGTTTGAGGTGAGGGGTGCTTTGGCAGCAAGTTAGTACTGGAAGAAAGGAGGGATGGATAGAAAATCTGTTGGGGGAGGAGACTGCTGAGCTGCTTTAGGGCCTGTCCCTACAAACATGAAAACATTCTGGACAATAGGCTTAGTGTTTGCATTCGTCTGGATGTGGTAAATGTTTCAGACTTGAAATGGTTGGTAAACTATTTTTACTATACAGCACTAGAACAGCATCTTGTGAGATTGGGTTTTATTTCCATAGCTATATATAAAGGTATATATTTTTTCTTCGTCAACCTTATAAATGCATGTGAACTTGAATAACTGTTGGAAGTGTCCTGCTTTAGAAAGTATTCTAAAGTGAGATTTCGGTTATGTTTTTATATATAAAGTAAAAGTGATATGTGGAAAATCAATATTGAATGCATGTGACGTGGAGCTTTATCTCCTTAAAAATGGAAGATAAGACCCCACTCGGTTTTGACATCAGGAAAGAGTTACAGATTAAACAGTCCTGACTGATTTCTGTGTGTTCTTTCTGAACCTTTTACTTTTAGCCCAATGTCTGTTGGAGAGGGGAAGGAGCCTAGGTTAAGTATTTAGTTTAGTCTGACATGTAATTGTTTTTTGGTTTCTAAGTGCTTCTTTAGCTCACTTTATGCACTCTTTCATTAAGTAGTTGGTAGAACTTCATGCCTGGAATCAATTAATTGGCATTCTGTCCAATTGATAGATACCACTGTAACACTTTGATAGTGTTATAGCAATTAATTTGGTACCTCATGTTTGGTAGAGATCTTAGTGATTTTACCAGTAGTAAGCAGTTGCTCCTTATTTTTTTTTTTTTTAGTGAGTTATAGTCAACACAATGTCAACACTGTTCTTCAGAACTGAGATCTCCAATTCTGTTCATTTAGCAGCTCTAGAGCTCAATGCATAAGTTTTCGGAAAGAGGAGTTTGCATGTGTCACCTGATGTGCGTATGGGTAAAAACTACCCAAAAATGTCTGCTCCATAGACAGCTTTAGCTTCCCCCCGTCACTCTGTGTGTGGTGATATGTGGATCACTGTTCCCTGCAGTTAAAATCGTGGAGGAGGGCTACAGAAAAGGTCTTGTTCTTTCAGCCAGTATGAAGTTCAAGCCTATGGCTTCTGCAATTGTGGTTTGGTTTGTTCACACAGCTTTTAGCTGTTTGATCAAATAAAAATTCATCTGGGCAAACAGCACTCTTCAGTGCCTTTATGTTTTAATTCCTCATTTATGAATATTCTGTAAAAGCTGTTGGGAACTTGCAAGATCTTATCCACTTAAAAAGATCTGCATGCTTCAGTATTAAAGTGTGTAAGAGCTGCCCAGTCCTTCCTTGGGACTCTGGAAGTTTGTCTTGGTTTACCAGCATGTATGTGTATGCATGCTTTGTACTACAGGGTTACACTTGCAAGCATGGTGAGGCAGTGCTGTGTGCATATCCTTTAACTACACCTGTAGAAATAGTGGTAGTCTCCTTTCTGTAGTCTTTCTGCTGACAAAAATGCCTACTTACATTGCTAAAGTAGGATTTGCATCTATTCAGAGTGATCAAAAGCATTCCCAATCTCTTCACTCTAGATTCTGCCTGCTTGAGCTGCACAATGAAGTGTCAAATAAATGGTACTCTTATTTCTGTCTTGTCACATGATTAGATTTTCAGCTCAGCAGTGCTACTCAAGTACGGGAGCACTTTACAAAAATTGGAGCAGCTCTCTTGTGCATTGCTGACTTAAGCCTACAAAGAAAGGGTTTTTCCTGATGTAGAATATGGACACTCCTCTTGCACTTCAGTTGTAGCTAGGCACAAGTGCACCAAAGACAGCAAAAGGCTCATGCTTGTAGCCTGCAGATGAGATCAGTAACGGTTAACTCGGTTTCTAGTTCCAGTAGCCGAGAAGAAAAGTAAAATGACAGCAATATACGTACAGGATAACTGTAACTTTTTTTTTCAAAGCAAGGAGCAAGTTAATGAAGGAAATTCCATGTGGGTTTGAATGCTCACACTGATCAAGAACGCAATAAGATGACAGTGAGAGCTATTGGCCATGAGGCCTCTGTGAAGCTCATGCTGCCCAGCCTCTTTCTCCCTTCTCTGTAGAACTTAGGTTGCATTTCACTCCCCAGAGTTTATTTCAGTCTTTTTTTAAAAGCAGACACTGTTTTTTGTTAATGCTGCTGTGAGGCAGCTGCTAGTAATGCTGTCTGCATACTGTACAGCATTAATGGTCTTACTAGTTGTGAGGAAAAAGTCTTGTATTACGAGCTTAGGAAGGCTTTTGTAACATTCTTCTGTATATGTATATTTTTTTTCTTGTTAAGAGTCCATTGTTAAACCTTTATATGGGACACTTTGGTTAGTGAGGCTGTGTGTGTGAGTATGCTTGTGGTAAGACCCAGTCTGTGATTGCTGGCAGTCCAGTATACTTTTTGTGTATTTTTTAATGATGTATTTCTGAAAAGTTGGTTAAGTACTTAAATTTTGATTTAAGTCTGAACTGATGAAAGCAACAGGTTACATAGTTGATTTTATTCAGCAGGGTTTATTTTTTTAAGCTATATGCCTTATTGTTGCAGCCATTCTACTGAATGTACTTTACATTCTTAATTTCAATACATTCATATCACTTTTGCAGCAGGGGCCATGTCACTTTGAATAAGTAGTGATTTTCTGTGTTTTACATGACAGTTGATTGAAGGGTTACTGCCATGGAGGCTGGAGCACGCATGTAATGTAGCCTGGCAAAATGCATATATTACAGTTAATTTAAGACGGTAGACAACTCTTCCTGCCAAATTTCTTAGTGTTTATTAGGGAGCCACTGAGTTAATTATTGTGGTGATTTAATGTTAGCCCATGAGGCTAATTCTATGCAGTTTGTCCACTAAGCACTGCTGCTGTAGCTCTTAGCAGTTGATGCCATATACTGTGCTGCACTCTGTGAGCAACTTGCTGCTTAATATCAGGTTTTACACTGAACTAGACCTGTGTATGTACTTCAGTCTCGTTGGGAAATGACCGGCATAAAGAATGTGTTCAATGTGGTCATTTGCCTCTTCAGTGTTAAGATACTCTACCTAATAATGCTTCTGTGGATGTCTGTTTTCAACATGTTAACTGTTTTAACTGACTGCACAGATAATGGAAAATAAAGTAACTAGACTTGCTATAAGTACTTTGTTGGAGTGTTTTTTCAGAAGGAGGAGCTTCTAGAAAAAAGTTTTTGTTTAAGTGTGGAGCACTATGCAAGACGGCTTGCCAGAAGTCATTCTAGCTGACTGCAGCACCTACAGAAGACTTCAACAAGAATGCAGGTATGTAAACATCCTGAAGAACAATTTTTAAAGATGTTCCTCTGCCTCTTAAAAGCTGACAGCAATTATCAACGAACCCCTGTCTCTTTGCCTCTTTTAAGGGTAATTTTTTGACTACTTGGTTTGCCTACCAGTAAGTTTGGGGACTTAGAGCTTTTTAAGCTGAAAGCAGGTGTGTACAGGAGAAGAAAATAAGAATGTGCTTCCTCCCCGCTTGGCTCTGCGCGGCCTGTGCAGGCTGGGGCCAGAGGCCTCCTCTGCTGAACTCCCAGCTCTCTGTGAGGAGTGGGTGCCAGGCAAACTGGGCCTGTGCAAGGCCGTGTCCCCGGGCACCCGTGTGCCCCTGCCCGAGGGCTGCCCTGCCTGGCTGGCTCTAGCAGCAGCTTTCCCTGTGCCAGAGTTGAATGCTTCATGCCAGGGTTTGAAAGTCTCCAATCAACCAGGAGTTTGTTCACAAGCAGCGTTAGCTCCAGCTCCAACAAGTCTTCCTGCTGCTCTTGCTAGGCTGGAGCTCTGTTTGCACCAAATACTGTGCCTGTTCCAATTGATCCTTGTCTTCCTTTCACAGTGCCCTGCCGCCTCAGTTAAGGATCTAACCAAAAACCTGAGTTTCTTGCTTTTTTAAGTTGTTACAGCTTCTGTGTCTTGAATCATTGCCCAAATGCCACAAGATTTGCTGTTAGCTTTTATTTTTATTTAAAGGTGTCAGGCAGCATCCATGCTATTTTAGAATATGCCAAAACCCATGTTCTTTTATAAGCCTGTCACTTTCTAGGTGTGTGGTTTCAATTTTCAAGCCCCTGAAGCGCTGTTATGTTGGAGTCCCACAGGATCCTACCTGGAGGGCTCCGGGGAGAAGCAGGCGGCCCGTTGCAGTGCTGGGAATCCCAGTGGGTGCGAGGCTGCGCTCGCTCCAGCGGAAGGGGATGCACGTTCCCAAGCAGCTAGTGAGAACTTCCTGCTTTGTGGAGGAAGGTATCCATTCCTCTTTCAGAGCAATGAAAGGGTGAGGGAGAGGTAGAAAGCAGAGAACTGGAAGCTACACTGTGTGAATTTGATTTTTAGTTCTTGCCCTGACTTTTCTGTATAATCTGAACTTAAAACCTCTTCCTACATCTCAAGGCTTATTTAACAATTATAACCTTTAAATATTAGCAGTGATATTTATGGCAACCTGATCTTTTATATTTTCTGAGGGATTCCAAGGCCAAAGGTGGACTTGGACTTGATCTTGTTTATCTGTGTTCCTAGTTGCACAAAATCCTCCCATTTCCCTTGAATTCCGAAATAAGGTGGACGTGGCAAAAGGCTGGTTCCTGGACTGTCCTGCTAACTCGTGGAGCTGTTCGCAGTGCAGAATTCCCTGGAATTCCAGAGGAGTTCAGTAGCTGCGGCGGGAGCAGCTGCCGAGCTCTGGGGGGCTCTTTGCCGCTAGATGGCAGGTCTAGATGGCTGCCCTCCAGCCAGCGGGCCCCAGCAGCCGGCCAGCTCCGCAGCCTCCCGCCTGGTTGCTCTTCCTTCTCTTCAGTAATTCTCCAGAGGTTTAAGCAGGTTGGGAAGCACAAGCCCAGCTCCTTGCAGGGGGGTGGGCCTGGCCCTTATCCTGCCCATAATCCTCTCGCTAAGAGGGGAGAAGCTTCTTGGAGCTTCCCTGCTGCTTTCTGACAAACTGACTGACAAACCTGACAAACTGGTGCTTGTCATCAGCTCACTTCAGGATTGGGGTTGCAGGGAAGCTGTCTTGAGATGTGGGGACAGAGAGCCTGTATTCTGTAGGCACGAGGTCAATCCCAGGGGTTGTGTTTTTGCTGTTGCTCTCCAAGGCAAATGCTGAGGGAGATGCCAGAAAGTGGTTCTCTTAAATACTCTCCTGTTTAACACCAAGGCTCCTTGAGGAGTGAGGTGGTGAGCCATCCTGCTGGTTAGTCTGTGTATTCCTGCTGAGAGAAGAGCAGGGAGCAGTTCATTGTATAAGCCTGGAATTAACCTGGCTTCCTGTTTAGCTTGACACTTACAGCCTAGGAGCACTGGGGAGTCGCCATTAGCAGATTGAACATTTGCACTTCATGAAGGAACCTGCTGACACTTGTTTATTTTTCCCCTCTTTTAGGATAGTTTGCTGGGGAAATGAGACCCTGCCACAAGCTCCTGCTCTGGGAAGGGGCCCTGGTCAGGAAGAGGTGACCTCAGCAGAGCCCCTTTGGTGAGAGGCTGGTCGGGGGGGGTGGCTTCCCATGGAGCGTGGGGTTCCCCCAGTGCTGACGCGGAGCAGGTGTTTGAGAGCCTCTTCCCAAATGGTGTGCAGGGATGTGAAACCAACTTGCAGACACTCTAGAAGTGGGGATTCAGTTACTTGGGTGTAGGTCTGTTCAATGAAGTGGTTCTTTCGTAAAACACTTCTCACTTATGAAGGAAAGCAAGCACACTCCCTCAGAAAGCCATTCTGAAACCCGTTCTTCCAAATTAAATGCCCCTCCATCACACGCTCATCTCCTCACGTCTTGGCAATGCAGCCCTTCCCGTGCCGGCCACCAGCCGCTCCGGGTGCATAAGGATGCCGGGCCGTGCAGGTGGCCGGTGCTTTCACAGGGTCGCAGTGGCCCAAGCTGTGTGTCGCACCTGGAAACCCAGGAACAGGGGCCTGGCTTTCCAGTCCAGGTACCCTGGTAGGAGAAAAGCAAATCCTGCAGGAGCACCTTTGGGCTGGCAGCCCTTGGTAGCTGCCCCGGCCCTGCCGTGGAGCCATGGAGCTCCCTGGCACAGCGGAGGCGCAGGAGGTTTCACCTGCTTGTGCCTCAGGTTTTCTACCCCCTGGCCGAGGGTGCCGTGGGGTCAGAGGCCGGAGGTGCCCAAGTCCTAGGGGATGCTCCAAGAGCGTCTTTGTAGTCTCGGCAGTGGGGGTGCCGCAGGCTGCCCAGCGTGGCCGTGCTCAGGCTGGAGCCAATTCTGCCTGCGGAGAGCAGCGTCTCTGCAGCGAGGCCGGCCGCAGCGGGAGGGCAGGCACTGCAGAAGGCCCTCTCGTTCATTCTCACTTACCAAAAATCACTCTTTGACATGTGGCATGAAAAAAAGCCAGATATGTCAACCTCTCCCCTTTTGGACTGTGGGTTAATTGCAGGTGCCAGGCTTCAGCTGGAATTGTTTCCCGTGATAAAACCCTTTTGGGAAGGCTGCTGCTAGGAGCACCACTATCCTCGATAAATCCAAACAGGTTTTGGATGTCACAGGACACAAGGACACAGAGGGCCCATTCTTATGTTTCATGTTCAGACCACTTGCACATGTAGCTTTTTTCCCCGCTTGAGTTTAGCAGGGGACAAAGCCAGGCTTGAGCCACTGCAGGGAGAGCCTTCCACCGGCACCAAGAGTTTCAGGGATGTGTCCTCATTCCTTTCTGCAAGAAGGTCGAAAACTCAGATGAGGTTTCTGTGTTTTTCCTTCCCCTCTGTGCTCCTCTTTCAGGTTTTTCTGCTTGTCCTTCACCATAACCTTCCTTTAACCAAACTTGATCTCCCCCTTAATATAAACAGCAGCTGCTCCTGGGATGTTGTTACTGCAGCTTCCTCATTGGAAGTGGTTTAGGTAGCCCTGGCTGCAGCGCCGAACAAGATCGAGCTAGATAAGTGGAAAGCCAAGAACGGCCCCTTGGATTTGGTTTCCTGCAGCTTTGGTTTAAGGGGAGAGCTCTGATCATCTTTCTTGTAATTAAGAAGTCAGGTGGGAGGCAAGAGGAGGAATCCTCTTGATCTTAGGGGCCAATCCCCCAGCCGGCAGCGGGATTTAATCTCCTTCCCGTGGCCGGTGCAGCACGGGCCTGGGGAATGGTGGCTTTTACTTGGACCACGGTATCCGCGGCGTCCTGGGTGCGGAGGCAGCTCTGCTGGTGACGCACGGCGGGGCGGCCGCGCCGGCGGCGCCAGCTTTGTGGGCCGTGTCCTGCAGACCTGGTACTGCTGCTGCTCTGTCCCCTTGTGCCTTTGCTGCACAAGTTGCTGTATCAAGTTGCTGTTTGCACAGAGAAAGATCTTGTGTCTCCATGTTCTGCAGAAGAAACGTTGATAGGGCCATGCTGCGTGTCTGGGATTTATCACAGCTACAACAGCAGTTCTTGTGTGTAGTTTTTCCAAGTGTTGGGCTTCACCTTCAGTAAGGACTTGCAGCGTTCACAGAGGCAGAGAGGCAGGGAGAAACTATAGAGGCTTCTAAAAGAAGTGTCCACCCAGTGGATTTTGCCTTTGGGAGTCCAGGGTCTGCAACTGGAACCAGGGGGGCATAAAGAGAAGCAAGAGGCAGCTCCCTTCGGGGGCCCAGTGCAGCCCGAGGGTGTCTCTGTGCTTGGTTCCTCTGTCTGCAGGCTCGCGAGAGGAGATTGCTCCTGCCCCTGGAGCCCCAGGAGAGGCAGGAAGGCTGCGTGCTGCCCAGCACTGCTCTGCCCTTGGGCCCATTTCAGCTTTTCCTTCTCTGAAGCCTGTGGGAAACACGGGAGGGGATCAAAGCCCTGTGGAGACGTGGGCTTGGCGAGAGGCCTGCGAGGCAGCGGCCGCCCCTCGCTGCCTCCTGCTTCTCGCCACGGTGCTGGCAGCACCCGCTTTGCTGCTACCACACGGCTCCTGTCCTGGACTTCTAGCCACAGCCACAAGTGCTCCAGATACCCAGGACCCCTCAGCCTGGGAAAGCTGCTTTTTTTGGGTGGAATTTTACAGAACCACAGAATGATTTGGGTTCAAATAGGAGGAAGACAGTGCTTCAGAATAAATGGATCAATAAATCATGTTTGCTGGACAGTCCATCTCTGTTTCTGGGCAGGAGGAGGGCCCAGCTGATTGAAGAATAATGCATATAGCTTGTTTTGAAAGGGCTGATGGGCCTGAGCCTGTTGAGGAGGGAGTTGAGAGCAGAGGGAAATGAACGGGCAGGTCTGAGTTGTGAGCAACGCTCTGTGTCCCGCTCTGAAACTGGTGGAAACAGCTGCAGCCTATCCAAAGGTGGACTAATGCTGAGAATAGGGTGAGAGAAGAAAGAAGAGAGGATGAAGGACTGCGTGTGGAGCAAGGTTTAAAAGCTTTTAAAGTCTCTAGGTTGAGGCCAAGATGTGCCAAGATGCAGTAGGCAGCCCAGTAGCAGGGCTCCAAAGGGAAGAGATGGAAGAATGATGTCTGGAGCAGAACAGCTACAACTGCTTGGCCTACAGGCAGAGAGGGATGAAGTCACCAGTGTGGGGTGGGAGGGATAGGCCTGAAATGCAGCCCAGCTGTGCCTAGGGACAGGCCAGGCTGGGATTTGGAAGCTGCGTGCAGGGGATGTGAAGATGTTGGGGGGTGTTACCTCACCAGAGGCAACAGTGTGAAAACTTCGCTCCTTCACCCTTGATGCCCTGGTTGAAGTGGCAGCCATGGGGTGGGCCAAGCTGCAAGCAAGAAGCAGTGACTGGAGGTGTGGGAGCTGTGTGGGCCCTGGTTGGAGGGAAGCTGTGCAGGCATCTCCAGGGCTGTGTAGGACAGGGCAGAGCTTCCTGGGGCTCTGCTGAAACGTGGCTGAGTGTCCAGAGGTACCAATGGGTCTGACGGCTGCTCTGAAACCTGCCTGAACATTTCGAGAACGTCTTGATCCTTCTTCCAGCCACCATGGGTTCCAGTCAACGTGAAAGGCAGGTCCTACCTCACCAACCTGATCTCCTTCTATGACCAGGTGACCTGCCTAGTGGATGAGGAAGAGGCTGTGGACGTGGTCTGCTTAGACTTCAGTAAGACCTTTGCAAGCTTCCCATTCCTTCTCCTGGAGGAGATGGCAGCTCACAGCTTAGGTGGCTTCTTCACTGGATGAAAAAAATGGCTGGATGGCCAGGCCGAGAGTGGTGGGAAATGGGGTTAAATCCAGCTGATGACAAGTCAGGAGCGGTGTTCCCCGGGGGTCAATGTTGGTGCCTGTCGTCTTTAACATCTGTATCTATGATCTGGATGAGGGGAGTGAGGGCACCCTCTAAAAATTTGCGGATGACACCAAGCTGTGAGGAAGAGTTGATCTGCTTGAGGATAGGAAGGCTCTGCTGAGGGATCTGGACCGACTGTATGGATGGGCTGAGACTGACTCTATCAGGTTCAACAAGGCCCAGGGCTGGTCCTGCACTTTAGTCACAACAACCCCATGCAGCACGACAGGCAGTGGGCAGAGGAGGATCTGGGGGTGCTGATCAACAGCTGGCTGAACACGAGCCAGCAGTGGGCCCAGGTGGTGCAGAAGGCCAAGGTCCTCCTGGCCCATATTGGGAACAGCGTGGCCAGCAGGAGCAGGGAAGTGCAGGTCCCCCTGTACTCAGCGCTGGTGAGGTCGCCCCTCGAATGTTGTGTTCAGTTTGGGCCCCTCGCTATGAGAAGGACATTGAGGTGCCAGAGGGTGTCCAGAGAAGGGTGACAAAGCTGGTGCAGGGGCTGGAGCACGGACCTCACGGGGAGCTGCTGAAGGAGCTGGGGTTATTTCTTCTGGAGGAGGTGCAGGGGAGACCTCAGCGCGCTCTGCAGCTGCCTGAAGGGAGGCTGTAGTGAGGCGAGGGACGATCTCTTCTCCAGAGTAACTACCACTAGGACGAGAGGAAATGGCCTCACGTTGTGCCAGGGGAGGTTCAGGTTGGGTATCGGGAAGAATTCCTACAGGGATGGAGCGGTGAAGCATCGGAACAGGCTGCCGGGGAAGCGGTGGAGCCGCCGTCCCTGGCCGTGTGCAGGGAGCGTGTGGAGGAGGGAGGCGCTCGGGGATGAGGTTTAGCAGGCAGGGCCCTGAGGGACCCCATGATCTCCAAGGCCTTTCCCAACCACAACGACTCTGTGATTCTTGCCCATCATCACCCTGGGCGGGAGGTTTCTGGAGTAATTTACTAGTTAATATGAATAAATATTTACCTGTGCTGTGTGTGAGCAGCCTGGAGCTGGGCAGCCCTCTGCATTTCATGCTACAAGCACCGACGGGTGGAGAGGTGCAATGCAAACTCCCCATCTTAGAACTGCCTTGGTAGTCCTAGCAAACAGCAGCTTTTCTCTTATGATGCTTAGAGGACTGTGAGAAATAAGATCAAATTTTGGCCTTTTTTTCATTAAAAAAAACCCTATCTCATTTAATGATTTTAAAGTTACTCTCTACAAGATAACAAATGATAATACAGCTTTGCAATAAAGTTTCTCCTGAAAGCACAAGCTATCAACAGAACAGCCAAGCTTAAAAACACATTTTCACTTGAATATACACCGAAAAAACAAACATGGAGGGGGAAAAAAACACACAAAACCCCAGAAGAATCGCAGACAACACAAGTACAAAACAGTTTCAAGGGGATTATTTTGGTAACTGGGTGTTGGTTGGCTGCAACAGGAAAGCTACCCATTTTCTTTGCCAGGCTGAGGAGAGTTTAAAAACGGTTCTCAGTTGTGTTGTACCAGAACTGAGGCCTGGAGCTGTTTCTGGGCGGGCTGAGGCCGTGCCAGCCCCCACTGGCCTTCCCGGGAATGTTCTGGAGCCTCTGGAAGGAACATTGTGGTGGCTCGAGGCAGCCTTCGCTGTGAGATGTTTATGTTAAGGCGGCAAAACTGAGGCAGCTGCTGCTGCTGTTTCTGTTACCTGAGACAAGAAACCCCCCTGCAATAGGGCACCTCTTAGATGCAGGTGGTGAAAGGAGAAGTTTAGGCAGGAATGCCCGAATATTTTCTGCTTGCTGCTCGTTGGGACTGTGTTCACTCGTGATGTGGTGTCTCCTGCAGACGCTCGGTAGGTATCGGCGTGGGTCTGGCTCGGCTTGCCTGCGCCAACAGCCGTTGCTGCAGCATCACCGGAATGGCCGGGAATTCACTGCGAGAGTCGGGATGCTCCTGCCACCCAGTTTGGAGAGAGCTTTCCAGCCTGGGCACCACAGACACCTGGAGTCCTGTGACTTATTTTGGGGGGTTCACAAAAGGCAGTGAAAAACGTACAAGTTTCTGTATGTTATAGAGAAGCCTGCGTACGTAATTTCTTAAGGGTTCCCTGTTTCTGCTAGCAATTCTTCAGGCATTCAAGTTGAAAATTGCTGGTTAGAACAATATGTGCTGCTGACAGAATTACACATTAAAATGGGATGTCATTCCTGGTGACTGCAGAGTGCAGAAGAGTAGCAGGATCTGCAGCTGTAGAATGTAACTTGGAAAAAGCCCAATATCTGGATGAAAATCAGAGCTGCACTAGATGCAAGGAATTCCCCAAAATATGTCCTAGAAAAATAAGTGCTGTCTTCTTTAAATTATCCATATACTGCCCAGGTGTTTAAATATCTGTGATTTTAAATCAGGTTCTTCTTCTTTCACGAAGGGACTGGCCTTTGGAGACGCTGCTCACCTGCACCCTTAGAGCTGAGCCTGCTGCATCTGGGGCTGTTCTCAGGATAACCCGGAGTCCATCCACAACTAAACTCCCAACTCTGAGCAGACAGACCAGGCAAGCACATACATTTACACTGCTGGGAAATGCCATGTTGCACAGTTATCAGAAATGCCTTGTGGCACTCAGATTTTTCTGTTGAGCATAATCCTGCATAGAAGGGTCTGTCTCTTAAGTCGTCGCCTCCACGTGTTTTGCTCCCAGGGGCTTAGTGCACTTGGATGTGCTGTTCGTTACAGTTCTGCTTTTCACAATGGTGGAATCCTGTCTGCCAAACCACGCCAAGAAGGGAAAGCTAAAGGTCAGGGAATTAACCCAGAGAAAATAGCTTTTAAGAAGGGAGTGGGGTTGGTTCTATGAGAACCGCTACGTTGGCTTCATGGATTGCTACAGGTAGCTTTCCCAGCCAGGTCCATGGGCCAAACTTAAGCTGGAATGAAACAAGAAGAGTGCAGCATCCAGTTAACAAGTATACTGAGAAACAGGCAGTATATACAGAGAGAGGCACTGCTTACCCGACATGTACTTTTAAGGTGCTTAATGATGTCTAGGGAACATAGCAACATATACATATATGCAGTGTATACATATCTAGATGTATATTAGAACCATAATACGGAACCAGATCTATTCCCAGATCCCTGATTTCATTAGATTCTCTAAGCCATAAAAATGTATTTAAAATACTTCATATAAAATATTTATTAAAAAACCCAATGATAACGCTTTACATAAAATATCTCCAGTTTGCAGTTTTCTCTGTTTCACTGTTCATGGACTGGCTCACGCCTGTTGTTTCATAGCGATGCCATCTGGCCTAAGGAGAGTTTAAACAACTGTGCGTGATGGGAGAGCTCTGCCACTCGGTCCACCATGTCCTGCAGGGCTCCCGTGTGAGGGTAGTGCAGGGCAGCCACCTTGGTGGCCATCACGATGCTCTTCAGCAGCTCGCACAGCTGGTTGCTGGAGTTCATCACCCTGTTGCGCACGTCCTGGCTGCTCGCCTGCCGTGCGAGCGTGTCCCCGATGAAGACGAGTTTGTGGGCGCTGAGGATGACGAACTTGCTGTGCGCCACGAAGATGCGCGGCGGCTGCGCCGCGTTGAGGCAGCCGAAGAAGGCGTCGATGGCCTTGAGCAGCGAGGCGTGGTGGGTGCCGCACTGCTCCGAGTAGAAGGAAAGCAGCTGCCGGTCGTGGGAGGCAGTGGGGCTGCCGGCTGCCTGCAGGGCTGGCGGCGCCTTCCACTTGGACGGGTCGTTCTCCACGGGCTTGGTGATCTCCTGCTCCAGGCGCTGGAACTGGTTGATCTGAAACAGCGACCGAAACGCTCCCTTCAGAGAGGGCCCTTGGAGCAGTCCCTGCAAAGCACTGCTCCCACTTACGGTTCCACCTGCCCTGCGTTGGTCACAAAACACATTTTGCTGCGATCTCTTAGTGCCCCCTCGGCCAGATGCAAGGACACACTGCTTTTCATGTTCTTTCTGACAGCTTTAGCACGTCTGAAAGGCAGCTAAACTACTCTGTCCCCCTCCAAGTTACAAAATCACAGAATGGTTGAGGTTGGAAGGGACCTCTAGAGATCATCCAGTCCAACCCAGAGCACCCAGTGCTCCAGCAGAGACACCCAGAGCACGTGGCACAGGGTGGCATCCCGGCAGGCTTTGAAGACCTGCAGAGAAGGAGTTAGTGCCAGGCACCTCCTGGGCAATGAGTGGTAATCAACTATTTTAGTTACCATAAACCTAAGTATAAAGTGTCAGATGACAGACCCTCCTAAAACTTTATCTACATTTAAAATCTCTGCAATTTTCAGGCTGTTGCTCATTTGAAATACTCTGAAATTGCAAATGAGAGATGCATCCGAGCAACAGTGACGTATCTTTAAAATGCTGCCCCCTCTGCGGGGTCCTGCGATGGCAAATCTTTGGTTTTCAAAGCCTTATGCCTTTTAACATAGACACAGTTACAGGATGAAGCCTCAGCCCCACTCGACCTGCCTTTTCAGCACCCAAAGCAGAGCTAAGGGCGCAAGGGGACGAGGCTGCCCCTGCCCGGGCGGGCAGCGGGCGCCCATCGGCCGGGCACCAGCCTGCGGGTCAGCAAAGCCCGGCTCTCCCTTGGCTTTGTCACTGTGAGATGGCAGCAAAGCCTCTTCTTCCCCCATCTGTGGTGAAGCTTTGGAGACAGAGGCTGCTTTTTATAACACATATGCAAGTCACTAAGTGGCTGCAAGTAAATGAACAGGGCACAGATGCTGATTTTCAGGACAGCCACGTTAGGATAAATACTCCAGCTCTGGCATACCAGTGGCTGACCCAGATGCACAGGGCTAGGAAGGTGCGTGTCCTTGTCCCTCGTCACCAAAGCCATCAACGGGGGAGCTCGGCTGGCTCAAATCCTGCTCGGAAGGAATCAAGCCAGGAGCTGCTGTTTAGCCCGACCCGGTACCTGCCACCCTCCCTTCCCAGCTGGTGTGTACACTGGGTGTTCACTGGGTGGTCTGGCACCCTGCACACCTCATAGCCAGGGTACTAGGCGCCCCACACTGCTAGCACAAGGGCCCTTCTTGCTGCATCTGGCCAGTACCACTCAAGTACAAAGCACACTGCAATTCGATGGGATCTTTTCGCCCGACCAAACGTACCTGATGGTGCTCTAGCTCCATTTTGCTCTGCTTCATGATATTTTCTTTTTCCAGTAGCTCCTTCTGTTGTCTTTCAAACTCTTCTTTCCCCTGTTTTGCATAACATAAAAATGCACTGTGTTAAATCAAAACTGACTTGAATATCAACCCGTAAACTCACCAGCAGGTTTCTTTCTACTGACTTTCTCTGGCAGTGCAAGCTTGAGCGTAGGGAGAAGGACTGTGTGGAGAGGCAAAAGGGAAGTGCTGTTATATATGGACCAGTCCCAGCTGAGGACAAATCTCTGGTGGGATTTGCTCTTTTGCTCTGAGATTTGATCCAGTGGGATTTGCTCTTTTGCTTTGATGAAACTCCTCCTGAGTATGTATCAGTGCAACACTCTGATTGCCTCCTTTCTGCCAAGAGCTCTTGCCAGAAGCAGCCCCAACCCCTGTTCCTGTTTCCTGAGCAAACACGGCGCCCGAGCGACCCACCTGCAGGTGGACGTAGTCGTAGTCATCCATCCAGCTCTTCCCCGAGCTCTCGCCGTGGGTCCCGGGCGGGTGCTGCTCCTTGGCCGGCAGCGCGCCGGGGCCGCCCCACGGCTCGCGGCTCCTCTCGCCGGACTGGGGCGCGCGGGGGCCGCTCTCCGCGGCGCTCCTGCCCCGCGAGCCGCCCAGCGCCGGCGGGAAGAGCGCTGGGGCGTTGACGCTGATGGTCGTGGTCAGCTGCTTGGCGTCGTCCGGCACCGTCCTCGCCACCATAACGAAGCGGTCCAGGTCGTCACACTTGTTGTGCGGCCTGTTGACCGCGAGGACGTTCAAAGACCAGCTGTAGCTGTTGAGGTCGTGGCTGGTCTGCGTGAGGATCTGGTGGGAGTCCTCCAGCCTCTGCACCTCCCGCCTCATTTTGTTGTAGAGGCTCCCGTCGGCCAAGCAGGCGGCGTTGGCGGCCGAGCCCCGTGCGAACTGCAGGTAGGCCACGAGCGAGCGCTCCACGGCGTCCACGGCGGCGCGGATGTCGTTGAGGTGCTTCTCCAGGTAGCCGTAGGAGCGCCAGTCGGCGGTCACGAAGGCCATGAGGTTACCCACACCCGCCTCCATCATCTGCTGGAGGCAGTAAAGCCTCTCTATGGCTGTGTCTGGATCCAGGATTAGTCTTTTGTCCGGCGCGGTGGACGCTGAGAAAGAAGACTCCTTTGATGTTGTTGACGATGTGGACATGTTACTCCTGGTACTTCCCGTGCTGGAGAAAGACAGCCTGTTTATCCCGTCGGTCACATCCTGGAAGCCTTTAGTGTCTTGTAGCATGGCTGGTGGCACATCATAGACACCCTCACTTCCTTCGGAGATTCCACTTTCATTTAGGCCTGTCTGCTGTCCTGGAAAGGCCGTGCCCCGTGGGGTGTCGTACACATCCTTCTGAGGTGCAATTTGCTGCCCGAGAAACTGGTTTTGATGGTTCACAGGGATGTCGTACACGCTCTGCTTGCGTGGCACTCCATCAGTCGATAAAATTCCCTCAGGAGAATATTTCTGACTAAGTTCTTTCCCAGTTGCTTTGGTGATGGGAGGAGGAATATCGTAAACTCCTTCTGGTCTGGCACTGTGGCCCAGGGGGGATGAAAAATCCTGCAGATTTTCCCTCAGGCCTGTATCATCTCGGCACACAGGTGGTGGTGGAGCATAGATCTGAAACACCGAACACAAACCATGAGGCCTCTCACTAGAAAAGTAAAATAATTTGCATCTCCCATACGGAAATAAAAACCTAGGATGAAAGATCTGCCATCGTGTTTCATCGGTTCAGATACTTACCCTGAGTTTGACAGAGGGTCAGTTTTAATATCTTACTTATTGATGTTCACCTTGATAAAAATTGTCCTAAGCAGCAAAGGCTCCAGAAGACCATAACCCACTTCTGATCACTAAGTCCCGCTGCCTGCGGTTGGGAATTCTGACACAAGGCTTCGTGTCATCTATTTTAATGAGTAGTCCACACATCTAAGGAAATATTTGAAGTATTGAACCTCCTTCTCCTTCGAGACTGAACTCTTTGTTTAAACAAATTTTTGGCCAGACATGAAAATGGAGCACCCCAAAGAAACAACGTGACACTTACCCCTTTGGTAGGCGGTATATCATAGATGCCTAAAGCTTTTGCTTCTCCCATGGGGACTGGATATGTAGGCCCCTTAGCGGATGCTGGGGGAATGTCATATATCTAAAGAAAGGATAAATTGGTTATAGAAACAAGTCACCTCGTGAGAGCTGTGATCTCAGACTATTTGTTGTTGTTTCTGTGTTTCCAACAGCAGGAAGATCAGGACGGTTGTAAAGCTGTGCTTTGTATGGGAGACTTACCTGGATTTTCCTGGTATTTTGAGCACTTAGGAAGAACTGCACTCCTGCTACCCTGACTTCATCCTTAAGGGTGAAACCAGTGCTGGTCTATTACAGGTCCCTCCTGGAGGGACGGGGGAGCCGCACGTCCATGTGGCCAGATTTGCTGATACGCCCAGTGGCTGATTGGAGGGATGGAGCAAGAGGCCCGGGTCAGCGCACACTGCCGAGCTCCGGGGCCCAGGCTGCTGCTCTCAGCGCCCCGGATCTGCCTTTGCGGGGGCTCCCTCCTGGCACAGAGCCCAGATGTTCGGAGTCGCCAGCGTCCCGCTCGTCCTGCCCCGCAGCGGGCGCTGCCCCTGCGCTAACACAGCCCCTGCTGGTGTCTCTGGTGGTTTCAGCCCCTTGGACTGAACACAGTGTTAGGTGCCCTTGGGTGTCAGGGCTGTTTCACAGAATCACAGAATGGTTGAGGTTGGAAGGGACCTCTAGAGCTCATCCAGTCCAACCCCCTGCTCCAGCAGGGACACCCAGAGCACGGGGCACAGGGCGGCATCCAGGCGGGTTTGGAAGATCTCCAGAGAAGGAGACTCCACAACCTCCCTGGGAAGCCTGTGCCAGGGCTCTGGCACCCTCAAAGTAAGGAAGTTCCTCCTCACATGGAGATGGAACTGCCTGTGTTACAGGAGCTGTTGCAGGACCTTTCCTAGAGGAGCTGCACTGCTGAGGACCGTGCAGAGATGCAGCGCGTTAGCTACGAGGCTCTGCAACATCCACTTTAGATTTTGGGGTCAAGTGTGGAGGGGGGCTCTGCAGGACAAAGACACACTTCAAACCCAGTGCCACGGCGCAGCAGATGTGTCGCAGTAAGGACTGCCTGCCTGGTAGCTGCTCGTGTAGGAAACAATTTTGCTCTTATTGAGTGAATTACTGTTAGCTAAGCAACAACAAAGTAAGGGAAAAAACACTGTTCCCAGGCAACACATTTATTCTGCTCAGACATTCTGTTTGATCAAAACACAGAAAACAAATGGGACTTTGGTGTTTGGTGTGCTGCCAGATCTTACTCAACATCAAATGCAACTTTGAAGTTCTGCATTCTGTGAAAAAGCCATTGCACCTAATTAAAACATATTTTAGCTCTGGAATGACAGAACTTGCTCTGTTCATAAACTTCAGGTAGCAAGTTACTACCTTTTGTGCCCTGTCAAAGCTGTTGCCAGTTTTATTGATACTCACCCCTTGGAGAGGGCGAACGGGGGGGATATCGTAGGTGTCCTTCTGGTATTTGGAAGGGAACTCATAAACATAACCTTGGCCTGACCTGACTGGAGTTATTACCTGTGGATTAAAAGAGAAGGGTAAGAAAACATCAAGTCTTTGAAGCTCGTGACATGTTTTCTCTGTAACCGTGTACGGTTCTCAGTACGAACATTCCTCTGTTATTAACTCGCAGATTTTAATGCGGCAATTTTAGTAACACGGGTCGCCTTCTGACAGCTGCAGACTGCAAACTGACGCTCAGTAGGCACAAAAGCACCATCTTTTCTTTCCTAATCTGCTCTGACCAGGCTGCTCGCTGCCCCTGCAAGATCTCTTATTGGCCAGGCCTGGCTTCTGCAGCAGGGAGGAGGCCGCAGGGAGCCCTGCACTTGGCCCCAGTGCAGGGCGCGGGACGCGACGGCCGCAGCTCCCCTGGCCAGGTGAGTCTGGGGCTGCGCATCCAGCGAGGATAATCCCAGCGAGGAGCTGGGGGTCTGCCCTTAATGGCAGGGGCTTCAGATATGCCCTGTGCCTTGCTTTCAGACCTTGCCCATGGAGGTATCTCCCCATGTGCCTCAGCAGGATTTCTGCGGGACTGCCCTACAGGACAGCATCCTGCGGATGGATGGAGGTGGCTGCTCTGCAGGACAGCACCCTGTGGATGGATGGAGGTGGCTGCTCTGCAGGACAGCACCCTGGAGGGCTGTGCAGGCTGTGGCTGTATTGGCAGCCAAGCAATGCAAGACGTCAGACCATTCCTGAAGGAAGTGCACAACTTAAGAACAGTCTCTGAAGAAAGCTTAGAATTGACATTTTTGATGTTTTCTAAACCATTAATGACCATAATGACTTCAAATAGAATGTGGTCAAAAATAAGTGCCTCACATCTTGGACAGCATCTGCAGGACAGAGTTTCAATAGTGCAGTGCAAAGGCAGCAGCTGCCTAACCCAGGGCTTTCTAGAGGCAGCACTGACATCCCAACCTCTGCCAGTGCTGCTGAGCTCCAACAGGGAAGCCCAAATACTGCAAACCAAAGGCAGAAGGTGGCGAATGACACGGCCCATGGAAGATGCAGTTTCATGCTCAGCTGGGGAGAGTTCTGTAACAAGATTACCTCACTAGCCCTGGAAATGCATGCAAAACATAAAATAATTTATGACCGCATGCCCAGCAAAGATCCCCTAGCAGTTTTGCCATAAGAAAGCTTGGTATCCTGGCTAAATGTCCTGGATACACTTTTTTTAACTGAGGTCTGCAGAGAAACTCTATGGTGCCAACCCCCTGCATTCCCTCCCGCTAGGACAATGACATCAGCTTTTCTCCTTTTCACTTGCAGCCCCAAGTACTGCTTTCTGACAGAATTCAGTTCACTGCCCTTGAGAGGACACCTGATGAATTTAGTGTGGGATTAGCAGTGTTTGCATACATACGTTTTCTTAAAAAAATACATAAAAAGGTATCGAATTTATACAGACAGTTCCTTTCCCACAGCCACCTACTGCATTGTAAAGAAACATTTACAGAGAAACCTTTAGGAAGGTTCTGCCTTAAGTTCCTGGAAGTTTCCCGCAAAGGATCACCCCGGACATTATCCCTCCCAGGTCACTCTCCGGTAATGCTGAGATTACGTTGTTTGCTGGAGGAACGTCTAGCTCAGGATCAGCACTTTTCCAGGTGCTTTTTCTGCCCTTCAGGACTAAAGATCAGGCCGGGGTAGTTTGTTTTTGGAACCTTTTTTCTTTTTTTCCAGTAGGGCACTGCCAGTCCAATGCTTTCCACCCAGTTTGGGAACAGAAGGTTTTTAAGCAACGTTTAGTTGGAGGCTTCCTTTGGGGGCTCTGAAAGGACAAGGACAGCGTCTGTCACCCGGTGCTGAGTCGCTGGCTTTAAGGAACGACCCTTTGGGAGAAGCGGGAGCGCAGGGCACAGGCCCTGGGCAGCCCAGGCCCGCGGCGCTCCAAGGTGCCTGGGGAGCTCCACAGGCTGCTCCAAGCGTGGCCGGGCCCAGCGCCGCAGGCTGCTCTGCTGAGCGGCGCCCGCTGCCCTGCGGACAGGCCCTCGGCCTGGGGGCCGTCCCCGCAGGAAGGGGGTGCCTGAAATCGCACGTCTGAGAAGCACGAGGGAGAAGCACATTGAGTCCACGGCTCCGCTGGCACCTGCCCCACGAGCTCAGCTCCCTTCTGAACCCAGACCTGCTGTAACTGACCTGCTGACAGCCAGCACACGTGATCACAGAATCACAGAACCCTTAAGGTTGGAAGGGACCTCAGAGGTCATCTAGTCCAACCTTCCTGCTCCAGCAGGGTCACCCAGAGCACGGGGCACAGGGCTGCGTCCAAGCGGGTTTGGAAGATCTCCAGAGAAGGAGACTCCACAGCCTCCCTGGGCAGCCTGTGCCAGGGCTCTGGCAGGAAAGAAATTTTTCCTCAAGTTCCTGTGGAACTTTTGGTGCCTCAGCTTGTGGCCGTTTCCTCTAGTCCTGTCGCTGGCCACCACTGAAAAGAGGCCGCCCCCTCCTCCTCACTGCCTCCCTTGAGGTATTTATACACGCTGATCAGGTCCCCCCTCAGCCTCCTCTTCTCCAGGCTGAACAGGCCCAGCTCCCTCAGCCTTTGCTCACAGGGCAGATGTTCCAGGCCCCTGATCATCCTGGTAGCCCTGCGCTGGACTCTCTCCAGCAGCTCCACATCCCTCTTGTCCTGGGGAGCCCAGAACTGGACGCAGTACTCCAGATGTGGCCTCACCAGGGCTGTGTATAGTTTTCCTGCTGGAAAACTGATTCCATGATTCTATAATACTGTCATACAGCAAAGGTTCTGCTACGGTCAGGAAAATAAACTAACCTAAATAGTTTTCATTTCTACATTTTGTGGTAAGATCATGTTCAATACGTGACCAGGATTTCCTACTGAAGCATTAAGCATACTGAAGCATACTGAAGCAAGTTGACTAAACCCTAGGCTGGAAAGCTGGACTGGAGTTAGTCTTCATCTGTGTAAATGTGCTGAAACTCTATAGCGTAACTCTTAGCACAGCAGCTTCTCTTTGGTTTGCAGCTGGATAAAACAGGTGAAAGGAAGTCACACTGAACGCTCCAGGTAGTTCCTCCAACTGCCTACATCAGCTCCTGCAGTTCCCTCCTCAGTGCTGTGTGTCCTGGAGAACATGTGACAGAGCGGAGCACGGAGGCCGCGAGGACAGGGTGACGCTCACATGCAGCACACGTGATGCTGACATGCAGCACATGTGACACATGCAGCACACGGGACGCTCACACGCGGCACACGCGCCTCCCTCGGGCCCCGCAAGCGCCGTGCAGCTCCCTGCACAAGCTCCGTCGCCCGTCACGTCTCCGGCTTTGGGCAGCAGGCAGCCACGCGCCGCCCTCGAGCTCCTGCGCGGGTCGGCTCTCAGCGTCCTGCTCTCCCAAACCTGGGCTCTTTCGGCATCCAGTCACTCCCGCACTCTCTCCGCGCTCGGAGCAGGAATTTCAGTGGCAAGTTCAGGGAAAAATCTCGAGTCTCTAACATGGAACAGGACGTGAAGCAATGCTGGTGCGAATGTTTGCGCCTGTAAAAACTGGTGTTGTAGCTGTTGTTATTGGTAAATACAGTGCTTTAATAATACTTACATAAGCCTAAATGGCGAAACAAACGATATCCTTGTGCCATGGAGGCTGAGGATGTGGAACAGAAGCTGCCCTTGTGTCCAGTTTTCCCAGGAAGATCCCCCCTTTGCTCTGCCAGGCAGTAGTATCGGGCAGCCGTGCGATTCCCACAGCTCATCCGCAGGGACCCTTCCCCTTCGCATCAGAAAAGGGTGACATGCCAGACATCTAAAGGCTCAAAACATTAGCAGGCTGCTGCTTTTATTCATTCTGCTGCTGCTGTATAACCCTATCTGATCACACTCCTGCTAGTCTGGCCAGCTGGAGGAAGCTAATTCCACTTGGTGCCGCACGACTCTTTCCTGTGATGTGTTTTGGCTCCTTCACTTTGTCGGAGACTGCTCTGTGTGGGCGGAACAAGCCCCTGTCCTGGGCGCTTTGGTCTCTTGTCAAACATGTAAACAGGTTAAAACTGTCAATTTTCCAACCAAAAATGCACTGGAGCTCCTTTTTAGGCCCCTGAAGCAGTCACACAAACGGCAGAAAATAAGGTTCAAAAACATCCCAGCAGTACCCAGCAACAAGGGGGATTTGTTGATAACATGAAACCCAGCCACGGTCTCCCAGTGACTCAGGTGTGTCTTCCTGCGTGGAAGTTTACTAGCAAGAACCAGCACGTTCTGAGTGATTTCATCAGAAAATTCTCCATAAATGATGAAAAGGTCAGGACATCATCCAGGGGTATTTCCTGTTGTGCCGTCAGTGCTCTCCCTTCTAACGCTGCTCACTAGTTCAACTTGCCTCCTGCTGCTCTGCTTTTCCTACTCACTTCAGCACAGAAGCTGCTCATCATGAAAATGCATCTCCAGCAAACATTTTGTTACAGTAATTGAAAGGATGATGCGAAAAAGTAGATTATTTCTTCCGATTCTCACGCCCTAAAGATACCAGTGTCTCACAGGAGAAGCCGGGACATGTTTGCACTGGTCCTACTGCATGAGAAAGAGAGAGGCAGCTGGGGAGATAATTCTATGTTATTCTAAGAAAAGCACGGAAACCAAGATTTTCAGAAGCAACTTTTGATTTGGGATATTCACCCATAAATGGGTTCATAAGTGAAGGTCCTATTTCTGAATAGGATGCTCAGCTCCTTCAAGTGCCCTGTTCAATCTTTCCTTTATCCAGAGGATTGAGTGCTGGATGGCAGCTTCCTTTTGAAGATGGACTTTGGAAGAAAGGCGATGGCTGCAAAGGAGAAGTTCCCTCCTCTCCCTTCTTGAATAGGGGTAGCAGCCCTGCCTGGTATTTAGCAATCCATTTCCTAACAAATGTCACTGAACTGCAGGTCATACGAGGGTTTTTTTTTTTTTTTTTTGCTTTTTCTTTCCTTTTACTCTTCTCTTTTAAGGATGTCTGTGGTCATCTGGGTTTAAATCACCCTGCATTTCAAACCAGCAATTTTCCTTGTTTATGCATTGAAAGAAACAGATGGTGTTCCCACAAACTATCTAGCCCAGCATTCTCAAAACATCGTAACCACTTAATCCATGCAGAGCAACTAACGGGGAGCAGGTTTGGCTCTGGAGAAACATGTAACGAGCCTACCGCAAACTTCCAGGACTGAAAAACAGGGACAACTGAGCAGGAAGTTTGTCCTGTTCTTGCTGGAGACCAGGCTCTTCCAAAAGCAGTTACTTGGGCCCTTTCCATGCCAACTGCATGGTTTTGACCAAGAAAAAGAGCTGAATGTGCATGTACTTTGCAAAATAGTCAGCCTTGTGGTTCATTAAATCTCTTTTCCTTAAATATAAGGAAACAAACAAACAAAAAATCCCAAGTTTTTGTCCAGGGTAAAAATGGAAGTTAGGTTATATAAAGAAAGCACATTACTAAGCGAGCAACAAGACAGGTCTCTGCTTACCCCAGATACGCCAAACTGTCCTCTGCCCTGCCCTTTGAGCAGAATTTGGCCTGCTGGCCCATCCTTGGCCTGTTCCCATCAACACCACTGCTTGCCCTGCAGCGAGATGGCAAATGGGCTTCCCTAGGCTCCCAGGTGAGCAACGTGAAGCGCAGAGACACTCAACAACCTGCCCCAAATCCCAGGCATACGGCAGAGCCCAGAAGGGCAGGCGGGCACCACGGTACCACGCAGGGCCCCAGCTCTTAGAAACACTTAGAAAGCAGATGCCTTCGTCTGAAGGCCTGTTCTTGGGCACTGCGGCTGAGCTGAGCCGTGACAGGATGTGTTGAGGGGAGGCTCTGGTGGTAATCGAGGCAGCTGAAAGGACCTGTCTTGCCGTCTAAACCCGGCCCTCTTAACAGAAAGGACCGAGTGTTTCCCCTCTTTCACGCACAGCGGCAAGGCTGCCACTGACTATCTGATAATGTATTTCCTGTGCAATGTATGTGCAAAAAAGGATTTTATGAAGCAGTAACCTTGACTTACTTAAACGGCGTGTTTGCTAATCATTAATTTTAATCATCATATGTGATGATATCCAATGCGGTTCCTAGCTGTTAGGGAGTCACGGTTGGGGTTATGTTTTCGTACGTGCTATGGATACTCTCAATTACCGAGCTTGTTTTTGTGAGCTGACACAGGCCTTAAGATTATCAAATCACAAGACTTTAGTTTGGCATAAAAAAGGAATGAAAATCTGGCCACTAGGAGTGTTTTGTCAGAGTATTTTCAGCCAACAGGGAGATGTCAGGCAGCCTTTTGATCCCGGCTGGCACACACTGAAGGAGAGGGGAGGAAGCCAGCAGAGGCATTTGTATCTGCTCCAGGTTTATAACTGAATCTGTAAGCTGGTTTCCAGTGCCACGAGCCTCATGGCCACTGCACGGCAAGAAGAAATCCGCAGCAGTGACTGTATTGGCTTTCTCAGGCTGACGGAGATGCCAGTTTCACTGCGTGGCAGGAAACCCGGGGGCTGCCGCCGCGCACGGCGACACCGCGGCTTTGCCCCGGCCGCCCTCCCTCCGTGCTCCCCTGCTGCCTTTCTCAGAAAGGAGATGGGTGCAGATAAGGAGAGGTGGCAA